GAACTTTAATTATTGATGTAACTAGGGATGAACGATATTATTGGCATGGTATCGGTATTGGCTGATATTAGTGATAAAGTTAAATATCGAACATCGGCCATTCCAGCAAAATAACTCGCCAATATAAAAGAAGCTGTTTATATATATATATAAATTATAAAAAGGTGCTGTTTTTGTATGACAACCCAGTGACAAAGATGCCTGCAGCGCCAGCACAACATTATGACGCCACGTGTGCCGTTGAGTTTAGATTTGTGAAAATTTACAAATTTGCACTGTTCCGAATGTTGTCATTGTGTTCGAGAGTAAATGTCATGAATAATTTTGACATTAAACATAAACCAAGTTGAAGTGTTACATCATTTTCAGCCCCCTTTGTGGCATCTGCATTTGGTAGAAGGCCAAATTGACAAAGACCATGCAGAATAATGTAGTATTTTAATTCCACAGCAGAGAAAGACATGTAGTCTCTGTAAGTAGATCCAGGGAAAAAAAAAAAACTATTGGTATTGGTATCGGTTATTGGCCAAATAAGTTTTAACACATTGGCATATCGGATATCGGCCAAAAATCCAATATCGTGCATCCCTAGATGTAATACCCCATGTCGATGAATAAATTTAAAGGAAAAAACAAAGAAGAAATATCGCCCATTGTAATATAGTATTTTCAGTATACATCTATAGGCTAAATATTCAATAGATATGAAGCTACATATTTCAACATGAAAAAAAATCAATTTCTTTACCAGCATTATCACAAATTACATTACTGTACAAATAAAAGTGCAGTACTAATTGTTTGCTAATACAAAATCAGTGTTAAAGGCGTTCAATACTTCCAGGCTAGCACACACATGTATATGTGATGTTATATTTCAGCATGCTAAATGAATGATCATTAGTAGTAATCATGCTTTTAACTGAATGTTGTATATACTTTAAATAGTCAGCCATGTTGTCACTCAAATAAAACACAACTTTAACACTAACCACCAAACAGTTAATTCAGTGGTTCCCAACCCTGGTAATCGAGAAACACTATTCTGAATGTTTTAGTTGTTTTCTTGCTCCAACACACCTGATTCAATTAATTAATTACTGGTATGGCTGAAAGTTCTGCAGAAGCCTGTTAATCACCCATTTATTCAAATCAGGTGTGTCAAAGCAGGAAAACAACTAAAACATGCAGGATGGTGTTCAAGGACCAGGGTTGGGAACCACTGAATTAGCCAAACAGCTAATTGGCCAAACTTGCTGTAGCACAACTTCATCATCAAATGTGCTTCTTGCTCTTCCTCTTCAAAGTTGACAGCATTTGTTGTTTTCTGCTTCATCTTGCATCAACTTTAAATTGTTTTGATGGTGTGAAATTAGCATCGCATCAAGCTTGTGATCCTGTAGAAACACTTGTTTTCCCTCTCTGGGGGTCTGTATGCTATGTTGTACAATCAGATGTCATCTCTGTGTGCTCTACGGAAAAGCCAGTTTGGTCACAGTCTGCTCATCAGTAATTTGTGGAAGCTGAATTTAAATTCAGAAGTTGTAAAATCACAGCTATGCTTTCCTACTCTATACTCTTTAGGTTACATTATTCTGCTTGGTCTCTAAGAACAGAATATCAGTGACTGAGGACTTGCTTTGTCACTTCGGTTCTTCAATTTGAACAGAGATATGAAACACATGGAAAACACACAAAAAATATATTTTCTATAGAAAATGATGGTCAACCAAGTGACACAAAAACAATGTTCCTGATTTGGATGAAATCAGATATTAGGAACAATTTTTAATAAATGCAAATGTATGGGGAAAAAAAGCAGCAATCAAAATGTAAATAAAAAGAAAAGCATTAAAACAGTGTATGCAAGTACAGATAATTTATTACTATCAGGTTAACGTGACCATTGTTTTGTTATTAGAGGGTTTTTAGTCACTCTGCATTTGGTGGTAACACACTGCTAATGGTAACACTATCACAAGTAAGTATGGGCGATGATATTCAAATGTTAAAAGTTTAGTAAAAATGGGTAACTAAAAAAACAAAACAAAAAACAATGTAACCATTTTTTTTTTTTTTTTACACCAGTCCATTCTAGAGACGCACCAAGTTATTTCCTAATGATGCTTTTCCAGATGGGGTGCTTTATGGAAACCTATTGCTCATTCCATACATGATCCTCCTAAAAAGAAAACTTCCAACAGTTTTCTTTCTGTCATTGTAGTTTATTGGGATTATTAAGTGGAAACTACGGTCACGAGTGAGCTCATCAAACAAGAAAAAAATGTTTAGAGGCAAACTTGGTGTTTTTGCCTAAAATGTCAATCCCTAACCACAAGGTGTCAGAAACTATGGCCACGACCGACCTGTACTATTATAACCAGAACATGCTGCATTGTGATCAGGTAAAAAAAAAAAAAAAATCCCAGAGTAGTAGAATAAACAGACACATTTGTGTGTGCTTGCAAATTCTGCTGCCTCAGTGTTTTCAGTGATAAAACTTGTAAATGAACTACTGCATCCTGACATGCAGTTTTCAAGAAAATGTCAAGTGAGCAAAACTCTTCAAAAATAAAAAAGAAGAAGAAGAAGAAGCTGTTGTTGAGATTAGCTTTCCTCGACATTAACGTCACAAATCAATGGTCGAGCTGCATTCGAGTGTTTCACAAAAAAATTAGTTCTTACAATTTCTCTCATTCAGAAAGCAAGCACAAAGTTCAACACTTTAATTACAATTGTATGATTACAGAATAAACTTATCTAAACGGATATGATTTTAAGAAGACCAAGAAGTGACATCTTGAAAATAGGCGAGCGTTATTTAAACTTCCACCTTAAGATGATGAAAGCTCAAATGTGACAGGAGCCAAGTCAGAATGGAGATCTAGTGTAAGAAGTTTAGAAGTATTCAACAAGGTTACCAAAAACACAACACAAAAACCTTCAGACCAGGAATGAAAAGACAGATTTTAACTACCTTTCTATAGTTTGTTGACGTGTCAACACAAACCAACAAGACTAAACAACAAGGTCGTGTAACGTGAGCTCCTCCAAAAGGCCCCGATAGCCGAGTGAAATTTTATAGTCGTCGTAGTTCAGTCACGAGAGGAAATGTTCAAACAGAAAGAGAATATCCTTTCAGCTGAGAGAAGAGTTGAAACAAAAAATATATTAACAAATATAATTTTTATCCCTTAAGACAAAAACATTTGTTCGCCAATTTTACAGATTTTAACAGATTACACACATGGCACAATTCTCTCCAGGTTGTAAGTCAAGTTTACAATAAAAAGAAATGTGAGTCACCAGTCAGGACGGTCAGAGTGAAAATGAATGACTGAATGAATGAAAAACAGATGACCAACATGAATAGGATTGGTACAAAGTATGGTCGCCTGACAGACATATACAAGACTTTCCTTCAAGCGCAGATGTCTAATTATATAATAATTCTGAGTGCTTCATAAGACAGGACAAATAAAAAGACCTAAACTTATAAAACTTTTCGCATCACAAATTAGACTGCTTGAAACCTGGAGCAGAAGTCTCAATGAGGTTATCAGGTCAAAATAAAATGTTAAGATGTTACAGCTAAACAAAGAAATAAAGCCTGATTGTGATTAATATACAATTCAACTGCTGATCTGTTTAATCAGATTGCTTTGTGACGCAAAACAAATCTGTCAAAACTACATTACCATTGGGCACAATTTAAACACGCAAAACAAAAAAGTAATAATAGTAATGTTGATTAACTACAAAAAGATTAACTGTGATTCAGATTTGAAAACTTGGTAACTCGTTTACAATAGTCCCTCGCCATTTCGCAGTCCAACTTTCGTGGACTCACTATTTAGCGGATTTTCAAAGTAAGAGTGGACATGACACACAACTGGCTGACTGATGGATGAGCCACATGAGCAGCATGGATTGTTTATTTAAAATACATTATTTTAAATGATTTAGCACCTGCTGCACCTTTCTGCAGCCCACAGGTGAAGGGAGAAGCTCCCTCTGCAGCCCGTCATGATCTCCGCTCTCTGCCACGCCCACATTTCTGCTCCATGAAGCAGCTTTGTGAGGGGTTAACCCTTTGCTGTCCAGCTGCACCGATCGACTTTTGTCTTCCAACTTAAAATTCAAAGTATGTCACATCGTAAAATCGTCATAATCACAAAATTTAAAAGTGTTATTTTTAAATTATTTTAGAACTTCTATGTTCAGTTGTTGCAGGTAATTGATCAAGAAGCACATTTCTCCTCCGTGCTGCATCAGTTAACCCTTCTGATGCTCTGCTGCGCTTCTCTTCTCTACAAGTTAAATTAAACTATTGTAATATTTTAAAGAAACAAGGATTGTTTCTTTAAAATATTACAATATTTTAATTTAAATCATTTATTTACACAGGAGGAGGGAGACTGGGAGTGAAATGTGAACTAGGACTACTGTATCCCTACGTCACGGTTTTTCACTTATCGCGGGGGGCGTGGTCCCCTAAACCCCGTGATAAACAAGGGACCATTGTACATGTATTTCCTTATTTTCATTAAGGTCAAGATGGTGCCACAGCCAGGTGACCTTAAAAATACCAAAAAGGCTATAACTCAAGTCAATTTTACATTGAGCAAAAATGTAATGTGGTAGTAGCTGAGAGTCCTCACAACACATATCTGAGAGTATGGTTGCATGGTATTTAAACTGAGCTTGAGTTTAAACTATGTTGTCACATTCTTTGTCGTTTAAACCCATGCGATGATTACAAACAGTTCAGACTGTGCATGTTTGGGATGCTGTATGAATGGGTGAAGGGAAGTTTTCTATTATTCAAGATGGAGGAGATAAAAGTCAGTGGAACACATGAGGTGCATCTCAGCTTCAGTGATGATGGTTATTAAAAAGTCAAAGTGGTGAATGAAAGTCAAGGTTCAACAAGTCTAGGGGGTGATGAGACAGACCAAACAAATGATTGGAGAAGACGTGAGACATCTCGACATCCCTACCTGGGGAGGCAGCGTCCCCATCGAGCAGGTTGTCGTCCTCGGTGGTGTGGAAGTCCATGATGACGCCGGCTCCATCCAGCAGCTCGTCGTCGCTGCTGGCGCTGGCAATGCTGTTGTAGCTGTTTCTGCAGTAGCCTCTGTGGTACAGCTGCTCCGACTCCATTTAGCAACACACCGTTACCCTGGGTGATAAGGAGGGAGGGAGGAGGAGGAGTGGTGAAGATATAGAGTCTACAGTGAGGACAGATGAGAAGTTAGAAAGTGGTACGAGTCTGGCAGGTATACAGAAAGGTGGAGTTAGTGTGCCCCCCAGCTACTTTAAAAAACAAACCTCGAGCAAAACTAGAGCGTCTCTTTGTCTCGTACTGAACATTTTCATAAATGATGTACCATATATTGAATTATTACTAAAACAGAACTTATTCAATTTAAAAAAAAAAAAAAGTACATAGCCAGACAGGAAACTCCAGTATCTGATTACCTGTGAAGGCCACAAGAATATGGAAAAAACAGAAGAGTTCTGCTCAGTTGGCTGAAAAAGAAGACTTCTCAAAAACAAAAGTAAAATGTGTAAAGTTGCAAAATGATCTTTTCCTGCAGTGAAACAAATAAGTGTTCTCTATTTTTGAGTTTGGATTTAAAGAGTGGCTAACTCGGAAAGAAAAGGAAATGAGTGTCAAACATGTTTTGTGTGTTTCCTGTGTGCATGTGACCATCTGTTAGTGGATCAGAAGGAAGTACAACATCCTTAGTCAGCTCTAATCATCATTGTATCTCGCGTCACATGTTGCACAACATAAAGTCTTTCCTGAGCATCTAAAAATGTTCAATCTGGTCCTCTGGACATTCAAAGTCCAGAGGACCAGATTTAACTTTTTAGATTTTTCTACCTGGATTATTGCGCATGCATCAGGATATCTTTCCTGAGCAGTTTCTACATGAAGTTTTTTCTCATTAACTCCTAATCTATCAATAAAAGTGGGACAACGTTCACCACAGCCACCAGTTTAAGGCTAGTCCTGAATTTTAAGTCCTTAAGTTTTCATCTTGAGACTTCAGAACAGCTCAAACAGAAAAGTGAGTTCAGACTAACAACAGTTTATTAACAGATTTATGTATTGAACTATGTCAAATAAAATAAAATAAAAAATCAGATACAGTGACTTGTTGATCAAACCGATATCATGTTTATGTCAAAATTCAGCCTCACAAACGCTGAGCTTCTGAGCTTTAAAAAATACACAAAGAAAAAGTGTCAGCTCTTAGAAGCTAAGTGCTGACATTTGGGAAAAAATTAAACTGTGGCAACTTTTTTTTGTAGCTGGTGCATTTAATGACGAACAGAAAATTGGAATTTTCATTCTCTGTCCGACTAGGATCCAATATCCCTCACCCTCAGAAATTATATGAAAATAAAGATGGCACATTGAATGATCATACGCTACAACAAAGTAAATACAAATAGTAAAAAAAAAAAAAATGATAACTGCCTTTCCAGGCCCCAGTGAAAGCAGCACAATTTAAACGTCTTGTGAGAAGATAAAGAGGACAAAGTGGGATTTCTTCTACTCTGAAGTAACACTTTCCCTGTCATTCTTAATCATCTTAGGGAAAGCAAAAAAATTAAACCTAGGATGCTAAAAAATAAACTTTGTGTATGTCTTTACTGGGGTGCGACTTTAGATGCTCAAATATGGGGGCCGAGATGGTGTAGAGGCAGGGCAGCCGGCTTGGGACCCGAAAGTCCCAGGTTCGATCCCCAGTCACTGCACATCATGTGGCGTCTCTGGGCAGCACGTCTCATCCCCAAAATGCCCACCGGGCGCTTTCAATAGCTGCCCACTGCACCACCTGGTGGTGGATGGGTTAAATGCAGAGACTAATTTCGCCATTGTATGGAAACATACAGTGCTGACATTGTGATGACATTATTATTATTATTATTATTATTATTATTTTTATATGTGCTCCGACACATAAAAAACATTATGTTCGTATGTCCTCTTTAAAAACTTTGAGGTTTCAAACCAAATTACTGTTTAATTTCCCCTTAAATTGGTATTTAACAAATATATAAACGCACAACCTTATTATTTTATCTTTGCATGTGTTGATAAAACCCCAAAAAGCAGAGAACCATTCTAGTTTTTGCTGTTTTCATATTAAAAACATTTATTATTCCTGTAAACTGCATGCACGTGCTTGTTGTTAAGTGGACAGTTTTACAGCAGAGAGGCTGAACGTTGTTAAACTTCTGTTCGTTATGATAAAAGCTCAATGCTGCACGCGTTGGAGCTGCTGTATTAGACGTTTAGGCACAAAGCGATCCAGTTATCCACTACCTGCTGTCTCTGGAGGATGTGTGTGTCGGGGTATCGGGCCTCTCTGAAGAGGTGGTGTGAGCCGGACCGTTAGAGAGGAGCAAAATGCTGAGTCACATCTCAGCAACAGTCGCCGGGGCAACACCTCCATAGTGACCAGCAGGAGAAAGATAAGTTCTCTCTCTCTGCTCCGGTTGTGCAGCGTTGTGAGCGTTTAGTTTGTCTGCTGCCGATTGTGTGACTTTTCTTAAAAACCCACCTCTGCAGTTATTCTGGCCTGTTTCCCTATTCAAACGATAAAATACAAGCTTTCATAAAAAGAGCCAATAATGTCTAAAGCAGGAAGGAAAACTAAAAATTTTAATTAAACTTAATGTTGAGACGTTGCAACAACTTCATTTGATTTATTTTTCAGACTGAAAAGATAACTGAATGCTTAAAAGTTTCTCACTAATATTTTCAGGTTTTCTTTAAAATAACAGCCCTACAGAGTTAAAGTTTGTACATACCGTATTTTTCGCCCTATAAGTCGCGTTTTTTTTTAACATAATTTGCATCCCCTGCGACTTATACACCAAAGCGACGCATTTATGGATTTTTCCCATATTTATAAACAATTTTTGGCTGCGATATGACTGTTTTCATTCATTCGGACTGAAAATATTGAACACTACCATTTTCAGCGGTAGATGGCACTCAAGTAGTAAGGCATACCATCGTATCATGTAATAGGTAAAAGTGGCTATTAATGACACAATCAGCTTGCCTTTGCCTGCCACATTCATTCTGCTCGCTGCTTGGAACAACCATCAAATAAACTTCATTTCACCTTGCCACCCTGGCAAAATGCAGCTGATTTGACTATTGAAGTGCATTTATTAAGTAAAAGTTAAACTGATACACCTTTGCTATAATGTCGAGCAAACAAATAATTATTTTAGGTGCTTATCTTATTAAATTTTGATGAGATACGCAGCGTTCCTCCTTCATGATTTCCTCCCAGTCTGCGCGCTCCCAGAGCACTGAGGCAGCGAATACTTTGGAAATGCAGCTGATTTTACCATTCAAGTCCTTTTATTAAGTAAAAGTTCAACCGAGACACACGGTTACTATAAAGTTGAGCTAACACTTGCTTTTAGGTGTTTATCTTGTTAAATTTCGAAGAAATGCGCAGCGACTCGTCCCTCTGCTTGCTCCTAGTTCCACGTATCGGTTTTTGAAATACAGCGGGTTTGACCACTAAAGTGCATTTATTAAGCAAAAGTTAAACTGAGACGCACCTTTACTGTAATGTCGAGCAAACAAATAATTGTTTTTAAGTGTTAATCTTGTTAAATTCTTGTTAAAGTCCTCCCGTGCACACTCCTGAGGCCGCCGTTTGGCAGCCAATTGATTTTTGGCACAACACCTGCCCACATCTCTGGGTTCGGCCCACAATTCTGGGTTGTTAGTGGTGAAGCATAATAGATGCAAAGTATATGGCAAAGCGACGTATTTATGGATTTTTCCATTTTATTACACAAATATGGACTGATGTGACTTATAGGGCGGTGTGACGTTTATGGCGGAAAATACGATAATATAAAAGTTAGCCTGATTCAAATCCAGATTAACAAAATGCGTAGTGTTCCTTATCAGTTGCCACCTTTAATGCCAGTTTTACACTGAGATCATCTTACAATGAGAACCAACTGTTTTGGTCAAATCTCAAATTAACTATGCACATAGAGAGGCGTCAAGCTCGCAGTATGCGTTGTCAATGACTCTCATGTAGTACCACCCCAAGTTTTAGGTCAATATTTATACATCTGACCGAGTTGTAGTCATTTTAGAGATTTTTGAGGTTAGCTGGCTCAGTAGCAGCCACCTTAAATCAGGTCAATTCCAAACGTTAATAGATGTCCATCCAATAATTATAAACTTCATTTAAAATAGTCCAGTGGTTCAGGAGATATTGGAGTAACAGATAAACAAACTAGAGTTGCATTCGGGACTAAAAAAGCCGACCCGACCTGGCCCAAACTCGTATAATTTTTTTCCCGGCCCAACCTGAAACCAACCAATTAACTGTAATTAGAGGTCTGAATCAGGAAAAATTAATTAATTAAATTAATTAAGCTTTTACTGCTTTTTTAAGCAAATCAGTTTGACATGATAGTTTTAAAAATGTTCTTCAAAGAAGGAAAGATATAAGATTTCTTGTTTATTAACAAGAGTCAGCGCAGCGGATTATGATAGTTATTATAATATTATAATTAGTATAGTTTTTATTGGTCAACGGATGCAATCAAAAGCCCCACACCGACTCAGCCCGCCCCCAATCAAGCACATTATTTTGGCCTGACTCGGCCCAAATTTCAGGTCGGGCCGGGCTAGAAATGACAACTTTAACACACACACACACAGACACAGACAGACACTGGCAAAAACATTATCACCAGCGTTCCAGTTGTGGGGGACAGAGTTGTATCGAAGGCCGTCTGTGAAGCTGCCTGGTGTTTGTACTCTGGTCTCCTATGATTATTACATACACAGTAGGTAAAGTTTTCAAGCTCTGCCTAATCAGCTCCATCAAACTACCACAAAAGTTTCCTTTCTGTGCATTCAACACTTTTAACATTGGACGTTTGGTCAGAACTCTTTCATGTGTGCTCCCATATTTCTGCTGTGGATTAAAGGCACAACAACTAGAAATAAAAAAAGGTGTACATTTTGACAAAACTAACCTGAACAATATATATCAAAAATGTATCCATATATACAATACATTGTTGAAGGGAGTATTGTTATTTTTATTCGAGGTCTGAACATATGGTCACATGAACTCGCCTGAAAGCTCCCGGCCTCGGGGTGAGCTCTCTGAACGAGCTGAATTAGATTTGCTGAACACACTGATTTGATAACGAACAGAGGGAAGTCCCATCTCACAGAGGATCCGTGCGACTGTTGACTCTTTTCTCTCTACCTCAGAGAGGAGTTTGTTTCAGTGAGGATTACGGGTCTTTTTGGGTTGACATTGAAAAGTTTTGTTATTGACAGCTCATGCTGTTGTACTTTATTTTTTATTATTTTTACTACTTACTACGCATTAAATATTTTCCAGATTATACGGTTTATCAATTAACAACACAATAATTATCAGTGGAAATATTACTGTTTGCGTTTGCTTTAGTTGTAATGTTTGCATGTCTTTAAAAAAAATCTTATTCCGAATCAATCTATCAAATGAAACTGATTCAAAGCAGAGTTTCTGTCCTACAAATGAAGTCTGAACAAGTACAAGTCTGAAATTACAAGAAAAAAAATCATCTTCAGGAAGAATGAACTGCAGAGAGGAAAACAGCACACAGCGGAAATAAAATCGCCCACGTAAAACAATTGACTCATTTATATATTCAATTGTAATGTTTGATTTATTTATTTTATGTTAAATTTATTGCTGTTAAAATAAAACAAACTTGAATCCTTTAACTCGGCTCAGTTTCACTCCACCACATCACTATTATTTTACCAGTGAGTCAGAAGTGAATAAATCATCTAATTAAAAAATACAATAAATCCACTTAAATCAGCAAGACTGGGGAAAAAACAGATTAAAGTATATGACAATAAAGAGCAAGTTCATTGAGGAGTTTCAGATTTTCTAAATTATGCATAATTTAAAACATTGTAACTCATACAAAAAATTGGTTTGTCCCTGAAACACACAGTGAGTTAAAGGTCAGGGGGTTTATTGGGATTCTAAACTATTTTATTATTTGGCTGTTTATCTCATGTTCTGTCTCACGATGATAACAGATGAGACGGGAGAAAACAAGCAAGACAAGAGTTCATGGCTACCAGACGGAAAGAGGCTTGGTGGTAAAGTTTAAACTAGAAAAGGAGGAAAGCGCTGAAGACTAACTGAATCAGGAGCGCAGGTTACACATAAGAAAAAGTGCACGAGTGTCGCAGTAAATGTGATCTGATATGTAAATGAAATGGAAAACAAAAGACAAATGTCTACCGCTCTCACTATGCTGACAGATTAAATTATAAATATGAACAGTGTGAGGAATGGAGCTGGAAAACTTTAACCTAAGGTGTGGGGTAGGAGTGACTAATTAATTACTGAACATTAGTGGGAAAATATTCAAAAATCATAAAGACTTTAATGTAAAGTGCTAGTTCAGACTGGCAACATTTAACTTTCTGTGCCTCTGAAGTGAAACACAGAATGATGTTTGTTCTGTAAAATATGACAGATATAAAATGACAAAAAGGAGGCTAGGATTTATTTTTATTTATTTACTTGTTTATTTATTGAAATGCTGTTGTGTATGGGAAAATTTCTCTCTGGTTTTTATGAATTTCATAGGACTAATCCTGATTGAGTTGCATGGTTTGATGTATAATTTGCTATTTTTTTCAAACCTCGGGGTAAGAAAACAGACAAGAACACTTAAGTGGTCTAACAGAGATTGCACCCATATCACGGTTTGATTAAGTCTTTTTGTCCTGTATTTTGTCAAATATGCACATTAGACATCAAAATGTATGGCTCAATCAGAAAAAGTGCACATCGACTTCATTGTGTAGAATAGACAGAATTTACAACAACAAAAATGCACTGAAAATAATAATGAGGATCAATGGAATTTTGGAGAAACGAGAAAATTTCAGCCCTGACTGGAGCGCTACAACTCAAACATACCTCCTAATAGAAACATCATTCTAAGTTTAAACAAGTCACAAAAAGTTGGACATTACATGACTGAATTGGTATTTTGGCATCTTTAAAGCGTTTTACATAAGCACAGTTTAATTTGTATAATTTCTTGGAAATTTTGCCAAAAAATGTTTAACTGCCAATTGATGATGTCATATACTAACTTTTAAGTAGAGACATGTAGACTCTTTGCTTTTAAGTAGAGAGTTGTGGAAACTTAGACAAGAGTTAATTTGTGAGCAGCAGTATGGTTTCATGCCAAGAAAGAGCACCACAGATGTTGATGGAGAAGTACAGAGAGGGTCAGAAAGAACTCCACTGTGTCTTTGTGGATTTAGAAAAAGTATATGACAGAGTGCCGAGGGAGGAGGTGTGGTATTGCATGAGGACATCTGGAGTGGCAGAGAAGTATGTTAGACTGGTACAGGACATGTATGAGGACAGCAGGACAGTGGTGAGATGTGCTGTAGGAGTGACATATAGTTTCAAGGTGGAGGTGGGAGTGCATCAAGGATCTGCTCTGAGCCCCTTCTTGTTTGCTCTGGTGATGGACCGACTAACAGATAAGGTCAGGCAAGAATCCTTATGGACTATGATGTTTGCAGATGATATTGTGATCTGTGGTGAGAACAGGGAACAGGTGGAAGAGAACTTGGAGATGTGGAAAGGTATGCACTTGAAAGAAGAGGAATGAAAGTTAGCCGTAGTAAGACAGAGTACATGTGTGTGAATGAGAGGGAGGCTGGTGGAACAGTGATGCTACAAGTAGCAGAGGTCACAAAGGTGCAGGACTTCAAGTATGTGGGGTCCACTGTCCAGGAAGATGGGGAGTGTGGTAAAGAGGTGAAGAAGAGAATCCAGGCAGGATGGAGTGGATGGAGAAAAGTTTCAGGAGTGATTTGCAACAAAAGAGTGGCAGCAAAGGTCAAAGGAAAGGTTTACAAGACAGTGGTTTAACCAGCTATGTTGTATGATCTGGAGACAGAGACATTGACAAAATGACAGGAAGTGGCAGAAATTAAGAAGTTGAGGTTCTCCTTAGGATTGACAAGAAGGGATAAGATTAGGAATGAGATCGTCAGAGGTACAGCACAGGTTGAACAACTGGGAGATAAAGTTAGAGAGACTAGACTGAGATGGTTTAGACATGTCCAGAGGAGGGACAGTGGGTATACTGGTATGAGACTGTTAGAAATGCAGCTGCCAGGAAAAAGACAAAGAGGCGATATATGGATGCAGTTAGAGGACATGGAGGTAGATGGAGTGAGGACAGAGGACGCAGAGGACAGAATGAGATGGAGGAGGATGACTCGCTGTGGAGACCCCTGATGAGTAAAAAGCTAAATGTAGTAGTAGTTAGGGAGTGAGACACAGATGCTGTCACCATGGTGATCTCAATGAGCCACTGACAACAGCTGGTGTTGGAATTTTGGGCAGGCACCTTTCAAAATGTTATCAGAAAATGTCTACTTCTGAATATACAACTTAAGTGCTGGTCGTGACAGACCTGTTCAGTATAAATATCTGTGAACTATATACAATACTCGAGTAAAAACAAAATAAAAATAAAAAAAATACTGTGATGAAGCGAGTTGTGCCACCAATTAGAAGAGCTGCCCGGGTCTGTTAATTGATTGTAATTAAAGCGCTCCAACTCAAACCGAGTTATGTTGTTGTTGCTTTGACAAGCCGAACTCTTAAAACTTTGACATTACTATAAAATACGAGGCACTTGTTTATATATATATACACTCAAAAAATACAAATGCACTGCTATTTTTCTGCGTGATAGTGATGTAAAATTACCGCAGGCAGGAGTCTTGTTAGCAGCCACGCGCTCCGCCGCGCGTGCATTTACCGTTAAATCTGCGTTAGCTACAATATTTGACGAAAAAATGGCCAGGGACAAAAAAACACAGCAACAAGAAGGAACAGTTGGCACGTCGCTGTAGTTTCTAGCAGCCGCAGACGGCCCTGTCTCATCAAATGACCTGCTAATGAATAAGGACAAGCTGGTAAAGTTCCACTCAACACCTGCAGCACCGAGTTAGCCTCCGCGGCTAGTTAGCAAGCTGGCTACTAGTAGCACCTGTTTGGCACCAAGATGGAGCAGAGTTCACAACATTTGACAGCTGGAGCATGAAAGGTGCATGAACGGATATCCTCGACTGGTGAACACATTAACAGCCAGCACACAGACCGTCTCTCGGTCTATTTAATATTCACAGCAACGACGCTTGGGAATATAAACAACAACCTCCATACCTTCCTGATGCCTCAGTTCCAGCTCGGACACAACAATTCATCCTTTTGTTTGTTTGCTTCCCTCTGAGTTGAAGCTTGAATTAGTTTTGCTCTCTACGTGAACGGGTTTGATATTCCCTTCATCGTGTTTTCTTCCTTCAGTCCCATTCCCGTGTCAGTGACGTCCACTTCCTGTTACCAGCCCCATCTTCATCCTCCTCCTCCTCCTCCCCCACAGTCTGATAGTAAGATCATCGGATCAATAATTCATCCAGAGGGGGAGGAAAGGTGCTCTGAAGGGCTGCTAACCTGCGAGGGGACTTGTTAAAATGTTTCATCCTACAGATCAGAGGAAAATAGTTTCTTAAAGCAGCATGATTATACAAATAAAACGAGGCTTTGAACAAAACATGGTATGGTATAAAGTTTATTCATTTAAAAAAAAGTACAAAACAATTCCATAACAATATAAAAAAAAAGATACAAAAGATTTAAAATGAAAGGCAGCAGAAAGAAGAAAAAATCTTATTATATCTGCCCCTTTTTTCAAACAATTATTTCAATCATAATAATTTTCAAGTAACAGAACAAAATGAATAACACTTTCTAATTTTTCTAATTCTAATACAAAACACACACTAAGCTACTTCATATATACTTTTTTAACAATTCAGCTTTGATTTTTTTCTTAAATGTACACATTGACTTGGCATTTTTACATTCCACAATCCAACTCCTTGGATTGAGGTAGACCTTCCCTTCAGACTAGTTCTGAATTTTGGTTTGACAAATATCTCTATCCCCTTAAGATTATAACAACTTTGTCTTTTAACAAAATTTCTTTGGATATTTAATGGTAATGTGTGATTTTGAGCCCTATACATAACTGATAAAATACTATAATCTACCAAATCATGGAACTTCAATAACTTCAGTTGATAAAATAATGTGCTTGATGGGTGACAGTAATGCTTTCTGGTGATAATTCTTACAGCTCTTTTCTGTAAAATAAAAATAGGTTTTGTAAATGTTTTACA